GTCTTGTCTGCATTCCCCAATGGGATCGCCCCAGTACGACTCGCGGCTCCCGCAAGCGCCACCCTTCTCGTGACCTCCCCTGTCCTGGCCGCCCCTGGCCCTAACCGCTCTTCGCGTCAGCGGTCCCCTTCCCGTGCCGCCTCCTGTTTTTTGGGAGGCAGTCCAGGGCCGAGACCTTCCCCCTTGTGCCGAAACAACCGAATTCCCCCCTCCACACCCCAGCCTCAACATTGGCATTCACTGCGTCCGAGATGATGGGCTCCAGATTTTTATGGCCCCACTTCTGAGGGACCGCTGGTTCAATATTAAGGCTGGGGGGCGGACGGGGGTCATATGCGAAGTGGTTCCCAAGCGCTGACGATGATGCTGATGATGCTGATGATGCTGATGATGATGATGATGATGATGATGATGATGATGATGATGATGATGATGATGTTTTCTCCAGCGCTGCTTAAATATCTGGGGGTCATATGCGAAGTGGCTCCCACACGCCTGTTGCACAGTTCTCTCCTCCGGTGGCCTCTGCGCTCTGTGCCTGCTCTCCTGGCCGGTGTCCGCGCCGCTGCCGCTGCGCCCCTCCGCGCTGGCCTCTCTCTCGCCTTTGCGCTGCACCTTCGGCAGACCTCGCCTGTCTCCAGAGGGGGAAAAGATACCCAGACCTCTACACCTTGGGCGATGCTTAAGAAAACTCATGTTTTCGGCCAGAGTCTTGATTTTTCTTAACGTTTCAATGTGATTCCTAAGATCTCAATGGAAATGTTGGGTTTTTCTCCAAGTTCTGAGACTATGAATTTCTTAACCCATGATTTCTTAAGCATTTCGCAGGGTGTACCCTTCCCTCGTTTGCCCCCTTTTGGGCCTCCTGGGAGTCTCTCGTCGCCACCGCTGGATTCGCCTCGAGATCCCGGTCAGGACGCGCACTGGGAGGGGTCTGGGGAGAAGCGATATCGGTGCCTTTCGGTCTCCCCATGTCTCCCAAATTGCCGTCTTTTCTTGTGCCCGACGCGGGCTCGATGCGGACTCGACGCGGATTTGGCGTGGATTCGACGCGGATTCGACACGGACTCGGCACGGATCCGACAGGTCCGGCATGAATTCGACACAGGTTCGACGCGGACAGGGCCGCGACGGGACAGACAAGGCCACAAGGCCCCCCGAGGATGCAACATAATCGTCTTGGCTCGTCTACGGCCGCCGACCGCTCCTCGCGGCTGCTCTTCCGTCCGCGCTGTCTCCTGTCCCTGCTGGGATGACCGCGGGGGTTGCTAACTGGACAGGGGAGTTACAAGTGGGTGCTAAGGTGGGTTCTATCTGGCCCACCCTGGCTCATAAGTGGGCTACGAATTCCCCGAGTGGCTGAGGGCTCAGGGGGTTTAGATACCTCCGCCACTTAGCTGGAATCGTTAACGTCCCCAAGTTGTTTGGGGCATTTGTAGCCCCCTTCTAAGCCAGGGTGGGCCAGACAACACCCACCTTGGCATCAATTCGTACCCCCCCTTTCCACTTAGCAACCTCCGCGGCGATTCGAGTTGGGAGGCAGCCGGGGTCGGTATGGGATCGGTCCCCACAGCCCCTGCCGATTCGCTCTTCTTCGGGCGCTGCCTCGCTTGGGCGCTACCTGGCCGCCTTATTAATTTCGACGGCATAAACAAAACTTTTGGCGCTCTGCGCGGATTTCTTGGATCCGCGCTGGGCCCCCCGGGGGCGCCTCCGGCGCCGCCCCTGGCGCGCTCTGCGCGCCAGAGAATGGGGTCCAGCACAGATCCAAGAAATCCGCGCGGAGCGCCAAAACATTATGCTTAGGCTGTTTTTCTTCTTCTATATTTCCACATGGAGCCTCCTGTTCGGCCCAGGCTTCCGCATGGTCGGCGACTGTTGCCACCCTCCTGCTGCGCCTCGCTTGATGCTTCGGCTTGTCACCGTCGCACTGCTTCTCCATTGCTTCGTTTCCCCCTCTTCCCACAATTACACTGTGAATGCTACTCTCCCCTCTCCCCCGAAGACACCTTTGGTGCATTCCGCCCCCCACTTTTTTTTGCCTTTTGGTTAATACAATTAATTTTAATCCTTCTCTATATACATCTTTCTAAGCATATATTTCCTTATCTTTTATGATAATTATTTATTTCTTAAGAAAAAACTGGCCCTTTCTCTTAGAACATGCTGTTTCTCTTTTTCTGCACTTGAGTTCAGGCATGTCTCTCCCCATGGTCGTTGCAATCCTATTGTTTTCGGCGTTTCGAGATGGTGCTCCCGCTGCAGCGTGGGCCTCCTTTTCGGATCGGCGCCGTGCTCCCGTCGCTCGGAACGGTGCTGTCGCCCCAGCGCGAACCACGCTTCCGGATCCGAGTCCCGCTTCGTCGCTGTCGCCCCGTCATTCCCCCTCCTCCGCCTTTCCCTGGTCCTCCTGCTCCTCTCACTCCTTCCACTCCAGCTGCTGCTGCTGCTGCTGCTGCTGCTGCTGCTGTTCGTCCTCGTCGTCCTCCGTCCTCATCCTCCTGTTCTTTCTGCTTATCCTCCTGCTCACCGCAACCTC